GTCAGAGGTGGTGCGGTTGGCGCAGGATAGAGCAGGGTTTAGGGCTGTTGTGCATAGGGTCGCTATGAGTCAGAAACGACTCGACAGCACATAACAACAACAACAACATCCTTTTGTGACTGAGATATTTCATGGTCACCCATTTTATATAATATTTCATGAGTTATTTGTCTTTCAGTGCTGCATAATATTCTTGTATGAATATACTACAGCTTCTTTCTCTATTCATTTGTTGATGGGTACTTGGGTGCTTACATTTCTTTGCTATTGTGAACAATGCAGCAATAAACATGGATGTACATATATCTGTTTGAGTGGCAGCTCTGGTTTCTTTAAGGTATATTCCCAGTAGTGAAATTGCTGGGTCAAATAGTATTTATATTTCCAACTTTTTGACAAAGTGCTATACTGCCTTCCACAGTGGTTGTACCATTTTATACTCTTTCCAACAGGGGAAGCAGGAGTGGCATCCACTTTCTAAATGACATGCCTCCAGAAATTCTATGAACTTTGATAAATGTTGATAGTTGTAGAGGGGCTTTAGGCCTTTTGTTCATAGGTTTGCTATGAGTCTGTGCTTAGACTCAAGGCAATCAAAAACAGCAGCAACCAACAGTGAATGAGGGTTCCAATTTCTCTACTGCCTTGCCAGCATTTGTTGTTTGCTGCTCTGTTGAACTTTGCTGTTGTTACTGGGGTAAGATGTTATCTTATAGTTGTTTTGTATGTAGAACGTTTTTCAAACCAACTGCCAATCTTGTGATTTCCTATTAACACAGCTACCCTCTGTGTGGGACTCAACTGAGAGCCACCCTTTGTTTAAAAGCTCCACATGAAAATCACCTCTCAGTCTTATATTTGTAACCCTTTATCAGTGTATCCCACTGATCCTAATGGAGTCCTACTATTTCTTTTAAAGTTTTTCAAACTTTTTTTTTTAAAAAAAAATACTTTTATAGGTGAATACTTAGGGCCAACTAGTGGCTCTAATCTTTGGAAATTCATGTATACCCACTTAAAAATCAACATATATGCTATGTGCTTTTTTCCTTTAGTGCTTTGAAGGCAAAATGCTTTCTATATTGGCATTGCTATTTTGCTGGTAAGTCAAAAGCCTTTGCATAGTCATTGAAGCACAGATAGACATTCTTCTGGTATTCTTTGCTTTCTGCCAAGATCCATCTAACATTAGCTATAATATCCCTAGCACCACGACCTCTTCTAAATCAGCCTGTACATCTGGCAGTTCTCTATTGTCATATTGTTCCAAACGATTTTGGATAATTTTCAGCAGAATCTTGCTTGCATGTGATATTAATGATATTGTTCGATAATT